AATTCTGATTTCTATAATCACAAATAACATAGACTCGCAAATCATAATGCCGAAGAGCTAAAGAAGATACTAGATATTCAAAATTTCCCTGCCGATCAAAACCATCGTGGCGCGTCGTGGGAGTCAGGCCCACTAAGTTTAACAAGCTTTCTACCTCCTAAGTGACAGTTGTGGTATTTACATAAACTTACCATGCAAGTACTTATTAACTGATCAGATTCGGTCCATCAAAGCACAATGTAACGCTGTACATCCAAAAATCTCAATTGATCACATTTCAGTTTTATAGCCAATTATAGAAGTGGAAAAATACAAAACATTTTCTGGGGGATATATCCCCTGACCTCCTATTAGTACATACGATACCACACAAAACTTTTTGTCACCAACGACCATATGTCATAGTAACATATAATATATATTTTTTAATCATATATGGTTGAATCATATTCACCAGGGTAAAACATCATGAGCTATTAAACAGATTTTCCCATACTGGGGGGTTGGGAGGGTCAGAAAAATTTCTACTTCTATGACCGGGGAGGGAGCACAACAGGTTTGCTTCAAGTCTGGAAGGGGTCAAAAAAGCTTTCAATCCTCATTTTCCCCATTTACCAACCCTCTACCCATAAATAACGAGCACTCATTTATTTTTGAGATACAGTTTTGTGGCAATCCCTGTGCATGTAACAATTTTCCTGTCCCTCTCTTTTTCCGATTCTACATTCAAGGGGCCCTACAGTCATTCAGTCATTTTTTAGTCGAAAAGCCACGTTAAGTGGGGGACTCCACGGAGATTCGTTTGGCTGTATCTTACATGCAGTATCCATGAGTATGAGTACTTCCACACACCGGAAGACGCATGCATGCCATGGTGCGCATGTCAAGTAGCGACAATAAGAAAAAATGTAAACAATGGCTTTTCGACTAAAAAATTACTGTATTAAAGGCCCCTTTAAAGGGACTCTACAGTCATTTTTTAGTCGAAAAGACACCTTAAGTAGGGAACTCCATGGAGATTCGTTTGGCTGTATCTTACATGCAGAGTATCCATGAGTATGATCATGAGTACTTCCGCACACCGGAAGACGCATGCATGCCGTGATGCGCATGTCAAGTAGCGACAATAACAAAAAAAGTAAACAATACTTAGGGACGGACCATTAGAAAAGTGATGGGGTGGGGGGGTAAATTTTTTTTGTTTGCATTTTTTTTCCAGGTTGTCAGCTGTGTATGCATGTTTTTTTTAAACATGTCTTCTCGCATGCAATTTTTTTTCCAATACAACTATACAAATGTTAACGAAACTGTTCTCTTGACAAAAAAATATCCCTTTAATACACACTGCAAAATTATATCTTTAAGCGCCATATATGGACAAGTTTTCTAGGGGTCCAGAGCATGCTCACCCAGAAAATTTTTGAATCTAAATTCTCTGAAATACCATTTCCCGGACTTTGGGGAGAGATTTTACAGAATTCTGATGGTCAGAAAACGCTATTGTAACATATTAGAGGCCCTTGGCCAATGTTTTTGCTCTATAGCCTGAGCCTGGGGCCCCCCATTTGCGGGCCCATTGGGGTTGGGGGCCCCCGGATTCTCCCAGTCCGAGCCCATAGTAGTTACGCCACTGAGGACAGTGGCAGTGTGAATGAGAATTAATTATTAAATACAATAGAAAATATTTTGATAGTATATAATAAAACTACATAAGAGTTACTGTTAATATTGAAAGAAATTGCATATTAATATATTATATATTTTGATATATTTATATTCTGAAATATTCCAAAGATTTAGTTCAATTTTGTCTGATGTACATTTAAAATTAAAGTTCTATTGTTGTTCTGTTTGTAATTTTTTTTTAAACAAGTCTGTTTGCATGTATTTTTTTTCAAACCTTTTTTGTTTGCATGGATTTTTTTTCTGTTTTTTCCCCACCCTCCCCATCACTTTTCTAATGGTCTGTCCCTTACTCAAGACTCAATCTCGTACCCAGAGCAATGCCTGTGCGCGGGCTAGGATGGCATTGGCTCTGGGGAAATTGACAACCGGAACCCCTAAATTTAGGGGTTCCGGTTCTTTGTCGGCATGCACGATTGATAAACGTTAAACCAATCACAGCACAAGAAAATTTCAATTTCCTCAGAGGCAGTCAGAGCCAATGCTATCCTAGCCCGCGTACAAGCATCCTAGCCCCCGTTGGTTTAGCCTGCATGGCAGGCGGTATTTCTACGGGCAGCGAAAATTATACTGTGGGTATATACACCGAAATACACGAGTACTTACTGTAATAATGTCTCAATCAATTCCATGGGTGCCCAACACCCCCCCGGGCGTTTGTCGGGCATTCTCAACTGTACTTGTTCCCAGAGTCGGGCATTTGCTTTCTGCAGGTTAGCCCCGGGGTGGGGAATTTGCTCGAGGCTAAAAAGTCGAATATTTATCACTTGTTTCGCCATTTAGCCGTACTTTAGTACGCATGTTTACACCAGCGTGCGTATCGCAAATTAATCATGGCGGAATAACACAAGACTTTTTTCTTGTCCATCCTGTTGATACATTGACTTACTTCTGCAGTTTGATATTGCTATATAAAGTTTTGAGACTTCAATATTTTAATTAAAAACGTTTTAAAACGAAATGCCTATAGAATCGATTTTAAATACAGATAAATTGATACGTGATAGAGCTTGGATTCGATTTTTTGGATCAGAAATCCTCAGAAAACTTATATTTTGTCCCCCAAGGGTGGGGCATTTGCGTCAATATAAGTCCCCAAGGGTGGGGATTTTGTTGCATTATTTGGACCCCATACTGGGGCATTTGCAACGTTTTTTCGCCAAAATGACAAAAGCCCGACAAACGCCCGGGGGGGTGTTCGGCACCCATGGAATTGATTGAGACATAAGGCTGGCTATAAATGGATACTTTGGTTTGTAACGACTTTTGAATACCTTTGCAAATGTGGATCGATTGCTTTTCATGTCACGTCTGATTACGGTGGTCTGATAACTCGTTATAAAGTGACAAGCTGTTTATAATACAATGTGCCCCTCTAAGTGGCATATATGCCTCCATTACCTAAAGCCAATGGACAAATCTCTATAAATTTAATGTACGTAAAAAAAATTCATTTACTAAATTAGTACATATCTACATGTATTACAATCGGCAGTTTTCATCTTTTGCGATTAAGCTTTTGAATTAGAAAATTAGAAAAAAATACTCCTTTGCTTTTTTAGGGCATCTCAGTTGTTTACCACGTGGTCAAAATCAACAAAGTGTGCAAGCCAAAACACAGTGCTTGTACATCTTTGAAATTTTTACTTTAATAACTCAAATATATTAGTACATATAGTAACAATACTTCTTTATTTTATCATAATATAAACTAAGGGTGGAAGACCTTTGGTAGGAAGGTGAGAAAATAGAATTTTTTTGAGGTGTTTTTAACACAGACAATGACAACAGACATTTTCAAAGGCGGCGACAAAACCGAAAGCTATTCACTTCTCTAATCAAAGCGACTGAAAAGCACCATAAAGACAAAAACCATTATATTTAACAAACATTTTATCATGTTTCTGTTGGGAAAGCAACTGTTTTCTCCAAAATTTATATTTGGCGCACCTATGTAGGCTGTTATAAAATGGCAGGCAGGCGGTTTCTTTCGAAGTCTGGCCAGGACGCTATAATTATAAAACACCTGGTCCTGGCTCTAAAAAACAATCAGCTTTTTTGAGTTTGAAATAAACCGGCTTCATAAGGACTAAATGTGTACAAATGTTATCTGTATGCTCAAATGAAATAACCCAGTATTCAAGTATTCCACATAGCTATAAAAGGGTGAAATAAGAACTTTCATCTTTGGTTGTTTGTCAGACGTGATAAAGCACATTACTCATTAGTGCCATTTTGTCGCGCGTGCAAATTTATGAAAATAAACACCTCAAAACGACAAAAGTTCAAAACCATGCCCATGAACTTTTACTGTTACAATTCTGGAGTTAAAACGTTCCCCATATACGTTATTAAAAATGTTCTAGTGAAGCGATTAAGTGAGCAATGCATGGGCCGACTAAACTCAAAAGAACTGTTAACGTTAAATTGTATGTTTTTGTTAATAGGACTTCAATTTCATGGCTTCCGCTATTAAGAAAGCCATTTCAAAGAGAAGCGGATTTGCTTTTCCTTCTATTCAACGTGCAGTGGCTGGAAAATTAATCAACATTACTGGTATTATCTTATTTATCGATTTAAAGTTTTATCAAATTCTATATTACGAGGATATATAAACCAATAAATTACAAACTATCTGCATATATTGGCACTATATTACAAACTATCTGTATATATAATTGGCATTATTATGACTATGTTACTTGTAACATTATCCGTTTCTAATGATGACACTAAAATATTAAAATCGCGAAACGTTGTCGTTGAATAAAAAATGTTGTCTTTTATATTCGGAGGTAATACCGTTGGCGTTGTTGTGTATTTCTATACAAGTGTGGACTTTTTAGACATTAATTTATAAAAATAGATATAACTGTGATTTTGGAATATACTACTTATTTACATGTATTGAATGAGCAGAAATTCCTGCTGCCTATGTTATTTTCTTGTAAACATTTATATTAAAATAAGAACAAAATTTTTAACCGTCAGTGGATAAAAATTTCCATATGATGCTGACCAAATACCTAAAATTTCTTAACTGGTTCCAAATATTTGAAAAACATAGAAAAATATTATAACAGTTAAATGCCATTGCAAATTGAAAATTCGCGTCGCTTAGCCAATTCGCGCCCGTTCTGTGTAGGCCTTTACTGTAAGCATTCATTGAAATTGCCTCGTTTGTTTTCCATGAAAATATATCTACAACAGAGAATCCAACTCTCGATCCAACCAGTACGAATCTAAAAATAAAAGCGAAAGACCGTTTAGTAGGCGTTTACTATATTTGGTAAACCGGTACGTTTTATATGGCATTGTTCCATTTCCATGAGTAAAACAAGTACGGCAAATATTCAATTAAAGACATGCGCCACACAACGAGCGCGTACTCAGAAATATATCGACTTTCGCATCTGTTTACAAAATCATCTAGCGAATCATTTCTTTTTTACTTTTGAATTGCATGATATTGTTTGTTATTGTGACAGTGTAATTGGAAACGACGATAAATTATCCTATATTATCATATTAAAATAACAAAAAGCTGCGGACTGAGAGAGTTTCAACAACACACTGAAAAATACAAGCCAAACTTCGATGGTGAACATCCGGGCGGCTATAAATGCTTCTTTATACGGATCGAAAGCTTTGCAGTATTGCATTTATAATTAAATTTTACATGTACGTGGTGCTGTGAGCTGTCGATTTCGTGTATGCATTTATAAAATCATTAATAATTCATAAGGAAAATACAAAAGAAATTAATGTTTAATCAGTGTAAATCTGATAAAGATTTGTTCCGATTTACATAAACTTCAGCTTTGATCTTCTTGGCATAGACAGCAATCACGACTTTCATTTTTAAAATTACTTCGCCAATAAACTATGCCTATGGGTCGTTTTATAAGCACGCTCGCCTTCGGCTCGAATTTGTATATCACATAAAGATCGGCTGCTCATGTTTTAGCTAGTAGTTGTTAATTTCGACTTGGATAGGGATAAACGGAAAGGATATAAAACGTTCATGAAAAATTATACAGTGTTCAGCAACTTCAGCCCAGTCTGGTCATTACAGTAATTGAGACTACTATTAAATCTTACTGCCATAATGGTTTTCAAACGTTCTCTGGTTGGAAATGTTTATTTATCACAAGCTTTCGGCTGCCAAACTGCAGCCTTCGACCGCGGGTAGTTATATAAAATACAATAATTACAGACGAGTATATACGGTTTTATACAATTATAATACAATTACAAAGTATACGCTCAACCTCGTGCTGGGAGGTTTGCCTACGCCACGCAAAGTATACGCCTATAAAACCGTTTATACTCGTCTGTAATTATTGTATTTTATATAACTACCCGCGGTCGAAGGCTGCAGTTTGGCAGCCGAAAGCTTGTGATAAAAATTTCCAACCAGAGAACGTTTGAAAACCATTATGTTCAATCCTGGTCGCAATTCCAGCATATTTTTAAAAATACTAATCTTACCTTGAACGGGGTTTATCTTTGCAAATTTAATCTCTGGTTTATAATCAAGGCTATAACACTGAGACACCAATAAACAATATTTCTTTTACATTTACAACAACATTCAAGATTCCAGTGCGTCACAACAGGTGGTCAGAAGTGTCAGGGTGTCAGGCCATGACAAATGGCTTGGGGGTTGGAATGAATACCAAATCATGCATCATATGGACTGTTTACTTGAGCGAAGTGTGGAAATATTCCATTGAATGTTTGAATTTGCCGCGTTCGTTTTGCATATAAAACATGCAAATGTTGCTTTCAGGCAAGGGACGAAAGATTAAAATATAAATTCAAATCTATTGTTGTGAGTTCCGTACTAATTTACGCACTAATATTAAAAAATTGACAATATTAAATTGCCTTTGACATTGGCACTTTGCTAGACCTTTGTCAAGACTCAAGGCTATATAGTGATATGAAATAAGATATATTAGCATTTTAATACAGGTACTTGAATAAGGATTGGAATTACAGGAGAATGACATCATTTAATCTGATATTTTCAGTGTATAGATAGCTGAATAACTGAATTGCATCCTACTTTATTGTTTACTCTGTCTAATGCCAGAGGATTTTCCTACTTGCATTGCCGGATAACTTGGCTACTGTAGAGAATGTTTAGTTTTCCCGACTTACTATACTTCACCCGGGAAACTCTGGAATCCTAGATAGAATGTATATGCCTTTCATTTAAAATAATAGCCCAAAAATACATACAAATCATTAGGTATGTTTATAGTTTTCCTCTATTTCTAGCAGCTTATTCAAGATTGCATATTTTGTAATCTTGTTTTTTAAACCTTTTGAATGATCCAAATTGTGTTTGTATTTTGTCATTGTGCAGCAATCATGGGGTAACTTGATTTCACATAAATAGACTGCTTTTTTGTCCTGCCTGAGTGAGTAACTCACCTTGCCGGGTAACTCGCCTACTGATGTACCGATATCCATATTGGTGTATCAGTCATCTTTGAATTTCGTGAAATGACATGTATTATCGGTATCGGCAAAGTATTGGTCTTTTACTGTATTATCAGTTATCAGAATATCTGTGAATTTCCATATATCGGTGCATCACTAATACAGTTCAAGATTGTGTTTATATGAGAAAATGCCATCCTGCTCGCTGGGCCAATTTTGTTATGTTGACATTGTTTTGACAGTTGTTAAAAATAGCTTGCAGCTCGGCATCTTTGAACATTCATCCTGGCCCAGCCTGCTTGTGAGTGTATATGTGGAGAAATTTTTATCCCGATAAGCAACATTGTGGCATCAGAGCCAGTCTGCTTGTGGATCCATATAAACACATGATAATTTTTTCTAAATAAATATACTTAATGCAGTAAGATCTCGCTTACCGGGCTGTCCCGCTAAGCGGTCCGGCCCAGCTTCCATAAATACAGCTGGTAAGAACCATGAACAGCAACCGGAAGTAAACTATACTGTCAGTAACTGTGTGATATGGTATTGGACAAATTATTACATTTCTTAATATTGCAGCTTTGGTGCATGACTAAAGGTTAATAGTCTACTGGGCACTTGCCACAAGAAAATGATAACTGAATCCAGGACATCTGATCTGCCTACAGCCATGTCTCTGCTTAATAAAATTTATATAAAACATATGTAGTTTAATACTCCCTCTTTCGTCTTCTACCAATATGAACAGGTGATTGGCCGATTATAACATTAACCCATTGAGTTGCATTGCACCCTGATGCACCCTACTTTAGTATTTTACTCTGTCTAACGCCAGACGATTTTACTTGTCAAGAGGAGAGCGCTGGCGCTTAATGGGTTAAACAATAAACCCTTTGTATTAGATAAGAATATTATATTATAAATAATATTAAATTAATTATATTAATGAATTATATTATAAATGAATTATATTATAAATAATAAGTCATAAAATTAATACTGGTCTATCTTTTTAATTTAACATAGACAGATTTTCATATTTTTACTGGGGCAGTGCCAGAAATTTTAGGGGGGGTGGGTGAGCCGTGAGCAGGTGACTGAAGCAACACAAAGTGTCACCATACCCCAGTAAGGTATACTATATTCTAGAGGTGGAGCACTAGAGATGTGAGGAGGAGTCTAGAGACCAGAAAACAAAGTATCCCTGGAAAAATTTTAAAAAATCATGATTCCTAGCTTTGAAAAGAGTTTTTTGAAGTGGTCATATCAATAGATTTGGCATGTCCGATTGTCTGATGAGACTTGGGAGAGTTAATTAAAAGTTAAATGAACCTGTAAAAGTGTAAACCTAATAGGCCAATACACAATATGCTTTTACCAGTTTTATAAAGTCATTGACATTGTGTCGTTTCAATTCAAATACATTTTATGATGCAACTCCGATGTAAATAATAATTGGGGCATAAAGATTAAATCTAGGCAAGTCTATTTTCTAAAAGAATTAAAAACTAAAAATAATGTTCGTAAAAAATCCAAATGTTCCTTCCGAGCAAGCTAAGTATTTGCATGAGAAGGCACTGCAAACTGTATTCAGGGGAGATAATATAGTTTCAAAACTTTACAATTGCTCCAATAAACCAGTGAATGCACTGTCTTTTTCTATTTGAGTGTACTCCTACGTTTATTTTATATCATCAACACTCTGCATGTTGGAGTGGACTATTTAATTATTTTTTATTATGCCGAATGTTGGAGGTGGGGGTGTTGAAATAGTTTTTTGGAGGGGTGGTCATTTTGTTTGGGGGAGGAGTTATAGCTAATATTGGGGGGAGGGGTAGTGCACCCCCCGCCCCACAAAATCCGTCTATGCTTTTTAATCTAAAGAGTTAACTTAGGTAACTGAGGAGTGACTCAGATTAGCAAGCAAGTCTCCAGGTCTATTGTTCTTGCAATTTTGTATATATATAATATAGCTATTTCAATTAAGGTTGTCCCCCAAGCAAAGCAGAAAAGTCGAATACAAGCGCGAAAGGCTGCTGAAAATCGCAAATAAATTCATTTATATTTCTGTATACACTACATATAATACTTAGTTTTACTGTAGAGTGATGATTACGTTCTTAATATATAAGTAAACTTTTCCTTTTACAGATTACTAGCTGTATAAGGATGTATATATGATGGATCTCCAGTGGCATTTGCATGATGTGTTTGGAACAGTGCTTAATGTGCATTATAAAGAAATCTATGGACTTTGAACAAACGGTTTGTCAGATAATATTGCTTGTCATGTGGAAAAAGTTGAAAAATTACTGCTTCAGGTCTTCACAGTGTGGATTATAACGATTTCGCTTTGGTCGGACAAATGTCCGATCAACTGGTCAGTTGGTCGGACATTTGCCAAGAATGGTCGGCCAACTTTCTTAATATTTTTTTACACGATACTGCATGAGATAACTTTAGAAACATTTATATCGATGAAAGTTAATACAAAACACGAAATAACAATCGTCATACATCTCTATTTACATGGAAATGTCCTATATAGAAACCTACAAAGTTAGAACAAATGTACGCTGCCACACACGGACACACCACACTCGATTCGAGGACGCGCGCCGGCGCGAGTTTTAAATCTTAATAAAACTGTTAATTTGTTATATTAGAACATTTCGCTACAAAACATGGTAGAAAATTTAAATCAGGTGCAGAGTTCTCGCCTATCGGTGACGGTATAGGCTTTAAAGCCTAGATCGTCTATACGAGCAAATTTTCTTTGCCAAGTTTTACTTTAACAAGTTTTATTTGCCGGTGTGTGATGGAGAAATATGGCAACAAATAAACTTGTCAAAGAAAAACGTACTTGCAACATTTCTCCATACACACAGGCAAATAAAACTTGTCACAGCTTGACAGCTACCTTAGCAAAGAAAATTTGCTTGTGTACAGTAAAAGAGGCCTATGTGTATGCATAAGTAAAATGGCCAATCTTAACTCGTTATATAGGAGATAGAACATAACGGCTGGAATATAAACGTCTTTGTGTAAAGTACTGTGCATAAACACAACAGGTTCTACTTTAAAGAATTTAATGTTCGATTATATCGTTTGAATTCATTCGTCTGACTCATCACTGTTGCCAAACCAAGTATCCCAGTCACTTAGTGAAAAAGATAGTTCACTTTTCGATTCTTCATCCGTTCTGGGTCTTCGGGAAGCGTACGGCCTCCGAGCACTTTGATTGGGTCTTCGTAATCGAATTTTAGTAATGGAATCTTTGTATATATTTGATCGGTCAAAATGTCCGACCAGAATAAAGTTGATCGGCCATTTGTTGTTTTTGTTCAGCAAATGGCCGATTGCCGACCGTTATAATCCACACTGGGTCTTCAGGAGAACTTAAATTTGCTACAACACATTGCTGTGCAATCAGAACTACACCTAGTTGTATAACAGTGGCTGAAAAAAGAACTTGTATAAATTGACTATAATTTGTTGTTTTGTATGTTACTCTGAGTGTATATCCACACCGGGCAGGCTGAAAAGTTAGCCTGACCATGGTGGGAATCGAACCCGCAACTAGTCCAATGCTCTGCTAACTGCATATACACTCACAGTATCATCAAAAACAATATTCACCTGAGTACCTGTACATATAAACACCCAAACAACACATTCTTAATAAGAAAATTCTTTTTAAGAAAAATTTCTTGATTTGAGAAATTATTTTCTTAAAATAAGAAATTATTTTCTTATTTTAAGAAAATTTTCTTATTTCAAGAATTTTTTTTCTTGGGAGAATAACAAGAAAATTTTCTTAATAAGAGAATTCTTTTTAAGAAAAATTTCTTGTTTTAAGAAATTATTTTCTTAAAATAAGAAATTATTTTCTTATTTTAAGAAAATTTTCTTATTTCAAGAAAACTTTTTTCTTGGGAGAATAACAAGAAAATTTTCTTAATAAGAAAAAAAATTTCTTAATTTGAGAAAATGTTTTCTTAAAATAAGAAAATATTTTCTCAATTTAAGAATTTTTTCTCAAGAAAATTTTCTTAATAAGAAAAATTTTCTTAAGAAAATTTTCTTATTAAGAAAATTTTCTTGTTATTCTCCCAAGAAAATATTTTCTTATTTCAAGAAAATTTTCTTAAAACAAGTTGTTTTTTTTCTTAAAATAAGAAAATGATTTTTTGCTGTGTAAAGAAAGAGGTTCTAATGTAGGTCGCATTATTTCCAGAACCGAAAGACATAAATCATCGTTTATGCCTCGTGAAATTAAACTTTTTAATAATAAACTTTAAATTACTACTGTAATAGATGGTTCTGTAATTTTAGGCTGAATGTAGGTTGCATTATTCTCTGAACTGAAGGACATAATCGTCGTCTGTGCCTTTGGCAACTGAACCTTTTTAAAAATATACATTTTTATTGTAATATAGATGGTTTTATAATGTTTATGAATTTGTAAGTCCACTGTATTTTTTTACTTAAGGTGGATTATTATCAAAGCTTTAAATCAAATCTGGCTATGGCTGGTGGGTACACATAGTAAAATGCGCAAGTTGTTACAGATTTGCAAAAAAGTTGTTGTCAAACCAATGTCAGGATGTGTTCACACTGCTTGTTCCCTGAGTCAGAGTTGTTAACAAGTCTTATATATTGCAAGTCAAATTATAAAATAACATATATATAACGCGTGCTCTGATTGGTCAAAACCCGTGTTTGGATCAGGCCATACAAACACGGAAATTTAAAGTTTTTTAAAGTGAAATTTTAACACGGAGAGCGGTTTTTTTATGAAACAATTACTTTATGGTTTCCGTGTTTGGATGGCCTGATCCAAACACTTGGGAATGTTGCTCGAGTTCAGAAAAGCGAGCAAAATCACACGCCTTTGGCTCGTGTTTCGTGCGCTTTTCTTAACTCTCGCAACATTCCCAAGTGTTTGAATCAGGCCATCCAAACACGGAAACCATAAAGTAATTCATAGTTAATAGAAATAAACATGGTTAGGAAGGCCGGTAAACTTCAAAGAATTTCCTATTCAAACTTCAACTGATGTGGAAATGTAATTCCAAGTGCACACATCTTTTGTCTTGCGTTTATTAATATTCAAATATTAGTACGGTTCAGCGATTAAAACGAAGGTTTTTATTGGGTAATCGCCTCATTATACAGAATCCGAGTGCACAAATTTCCATAAACTTGGACAAAAACATAGAACAATGACTTTTTTCATATCATTTCGTCCGAGTCAATTAGTCACAAATCATTCACTGCATTTGCAAGTCAAGTCACAAGTCATCTCTTGTCAGTGATTGAGTCAAGACGCAAATCATTCTGTGTAGTTCTTTGAACTGGGGGGTTACCCATGACAATTTTATATTAACATTCAGGGAAGTATATAATCACCAGAGGAGTTACTCCCCCCTCCCAAAAAAAAGAAAATTTTGGAAAGGTTACTTTCTCCTAACTGTCCTTTCTGTTCTCTCCTTCCCTCTTTTCTTTCCCTTCCGGCTTCTTCTTTCCCTTTGTTACAAGTCTTACAAGGTTGATGACGTTTTATCATGTAAAAAGTCAACTGCTAGAGACTGAACTTACACAACAAGCCCAGGTCGACCTCCCCAAACATCTTTTTTAAAACTTGTTCTTTTTCGTAAAAATGCCAATATGGTGATAATTATTCCCTGAAATAGAGCATGGATGATGGAGGTTAGCCTTGATTGGCAACAGTTTACCAAGAAAACAACTAGCCTTATTATGGGTGAATACCAAACGTGATTGACTACTTTGTGGTCACGTGGCTTTAGATAAATGCATTGTATCCTGCCAGGCAGTTCAAGTGAAAAATTGTTGTCGGTTCCGTACGAAAAATCACAGCCTGACTGAGTGAGATTCTGGCCAGAATCTGGTCATAAACCAATTAAAGCGGCGGTAACAAAGCGAGACGCGACCAGACATTGGTTTTGTCTCGCTGCTGACGCTGCATGTTACAAACGAGACATTTGTATCGCTTGTTTATGGTCGTGAATTTGGCCTAAATGAGAGTGACATCGCAAGACAAATTGTCTCGTTCAAACGAGACAACTGTCACGCTTCTTTTACAGCGAAACATGGATGGTAATATAGCGAAACAAGCAACAAAAATTCCTTTGCGTGCATGCCATAAATTTGTGAGATTATTATCATATCTGGCAGGGTTTTTTTCCAACCTATTTGTGGTTTGTTTTCTTTAACGTGGACACAGAGTAACATACAGAGGCTTATCTCCGCGAAAAAACCGTAAGGTGTTTTTTTGGCCGCCATGTTCTTAGTCAGTACCTGCACATGCGCAGTTTACGTGAAAAGGCGGCCTCTCTTTACTGGACTGGTTAAGAACATGGCGCATGTTTCCAAAAAAGCCCTTATGCCGACATCAACGGTGCCTACATTTAAGAGAAGCCTCTGTATGTACTTACTCTGTGACCGTGGACTTGCGGCAGGCTAGAAGCGTGCGCCCGGGATGAAAAGGGGGACTAGGGGGTATCGTAGACATTTGGAGCTAATAGGGAATCAC